CCCTGCCAAAGCACACTGTTCTTCCAGAAATTGTTTGACTTTAGAAGACTTTTTTTAAAAACATTCGAAGTGTAGTTTGTGTTCAGACTTAATGCTGGTCGGCCTGGAGACTCAGACACACCATCACCTCTTCTGGTGGTTTTGCAAATAACTTGCTTTGCACTTTGTTTGCAGAGGATCTTTTTTAATTGCAAAACTAATTTATTTTTTTAGACCTTGGATCCACAGCAACACCTTTTCTAGCTTTAATTTGTAATGAGGCAAAGTAGTTTGTGGAAAGAGGGCTGGAATTAAAGTCTGGAGACCTTAGGCCAGGACCCAGCTCTGCAGCTGTGAGTGCTTGGATCAGTCATGTGTAGCTCTGAGCCTCAGTTTCTTCTTTATCATTGGATGTTAAGTCTGGAAGTGCCTTAGAGGTAATCCCTGCCTGCTTATCCTATTAAATTAAAAATGATAGTGAAAATTAGAGACTAATTGAAATTGCTGTACTAATATAAAGTATTATTATCATGCAATGGCTAACAGTTGCTCAGGGAGAAAGTTTTTCCCCTAGTAAAAGTTAGCAATGTTCCCAGTCAGTCTTTTACCAAGGGGAGTTTGCATTGTGAAGTTTAACCATGAGACCAAAGCCCTAGAGCATGGTTTGCAATGTGTAATGAAAATGACATAGAAGCAGATCAGAGAGATGATGCAGAAAGTCAAAGCTGGAAACCCAATGTTTCTCCACTGGAAGCAAGAATTTTGTTGACTTTTATCAACATATCAGTGTCTACACTTCCAGAACATGCCCCCCTCCCCAACCCCAATCAGTTAATCACATTTTCACAGGTACCCTCAGACTTAGGGGTTTGTACACCTGTGACCTCCCACTCCTAGAGCAAATTCATATGCCAATGTGGTCATCTGTTCATAGATGAAATTCTCATATAGCCCTGGGACCTAATTCCTAAAAGAACTACCTTGCGCCCTGTGGCCTCTCCCTGTGCCAGCCCTCGTAGCTGTCCCCTCTGCCCACAGCTCCCTCCCTTGACTGTTCCCTGTAAGGGAATACTGAGGCTCCGGAGTCAGGTCCTGACTCTGCTCTCCCTCATTATGTGGCCTCCGTATGTCAGAGCTTTTCTGACTCTCGAATTCCTCCCCATCTGTTAGATGGGACTAAAAATATAGAAACTTGTACAGACGTTGTGAGGACAGAGATAGCTGTGAAGAGCCTCACTCAGTTGTAGGGGCTCTAATTAATATTAGCACTGGACCCTAGGCCCTTGTGACCCCCACTAGATCGTGACCTTCCACCTGGCAGGTTCCCCTGTCTCCAGCCGCTCCCATCCAGGCTGCCCTGCACTTCGAGTCAGAATTTCTGAGGTGGAAGGGACCAGACACAAATTAATATTGCAAAGCACCACATTCTCCATGTCACCTGCTGTCCTGCCTCTTTTCCACCTCACTCGCTCCACCCCTCCCCACAAGGCAGCTACTGATTGCCCTGTCCCTGGAGCAGGAACATGTTTATACCATATGCATCTCCTCTCAAGATATTCTTCTCCTGCACTCAGCAGAGGGGTAAGACCACTTACCATGCCAGAGAACTTTCTAGGAGCCTCAGGGGTGCTCCTGACATCCCGTTCCCCAAGAACATAGGGCTTGGAGAGGGGCTTTCCATGGTACAAAGAAGCCACCTCTAGGTAGAAAATTTTCATTGTTTTCCGCGTGAAAGCACGCCTGTGAATGGGAAGAACTGGGGAGGTTGGAGGGCTTCAGGTAGATAGAGCATTCGTTCCCAAGTGGGCAAAAATCCCGTTCTTTGTACCTACTGCCCGTGGCTGTGCGGTGCTCGCCCACCTCCTGCCCCACAGCTCGCGGGCCGGGAGGGTGGAGCTGCGGGAGCCCAGGCAGCATCTCCGCATTGCGGTGTCAGGTTCTGTGAGACAAAGAGAGAGATTGCCACCTATCGACAGATGTGCCACCTGCAAAGGGGGATGCCTGTGTGACTAGCGCGGCCCCCCTTTCTCTCTGGTCTTAAACGGGAAAGGAGGCGGGTTGTTAGCCCTTGGTTTTTTCCATTCAGTCAGACGTCCCACTCTCAGTATTATCATTTCGGGGTAACAGAGGCTCGGTGGGGCCGTGACATCCGAGGTGGGAACAGCGCTCAGTGGGGAAATTGAATGAGAGGCAGTAACCACGGCAGCTCTCAGCTGTGGGGCAGGCACACTGCTGCAGGCAGTGTATCTCCTTTCCTGCTCACACACCCCTCGCGGGGATGAGTGATCCCATTTCTCACGTGAGGAAACTGAGGTCTAAAGAGAGTACCTTGCCCATGGCCATGGCAAGTAAGGAGCCGAGGTGGGATGTAGGAATCCAAATCTAGCTCTCCGACGCACTTGGAAGCGCTTTCTCACATTTGCTAGTTATGCAAATCACATCACTATCATAATCTCCTTAACCTTACATTTTCTCACTATGAAAGTAAATCAAACATAAAGGAACTGCTTTCCCTTTGGTTGGGTGGGATCTTAGCTCTGGCATGTTCTGGTTATTTAACCTCTAAGGCTCAGTTCCTTCATCTGTGAAATGGGGAATGTTATGATGTCTAACTCATGGTGTTATCCTAGGGCTTAAGTGAGATAACGTATAATCCGAATCACCTAGAAGAGTGCCAGGTATTGATAAATGGGAACTTACTCATCTGCTGTCTGAAGGTCCAGGTTGGAATCCTAGCTCCTCTCAGTTTTAGCTTTGGGACCTTTGGGCAGGTCACTTGACCTTTCTGATCTTCAGTTCCATCTCCTATAAAATGAGGTTAATAATAGACATGTCCTGGCAGGGTTGTTCATACAGTGAGATGAAATCATATGTGTGAAAACATTTTGTAAATTTGAACTGGACTGCTCAAATATGAGGCCTTATTTTTTAAATAAAGAGTTTCTGTTTCTTCAAATGATTTTGGAGAACTATTTTTGGAAAAATGGCTTGGGTTGAATTCAACCTGGAAGTAAATTCCTTTTTATTATTCACTAAAAACAGTAACAGAAGGTAAAAGGAGCTGTGTGTGTGCCACAGGCTATTCTGCAGGAAGCTCTGCTTGCTTTTCAGTTTATGATGCCCTTCCAAATACACCGTTTCATCTTCACAAGGCAGGGCTGGTATTTACCCCTATTTTACAGATGAGGAAACTGAGGTTCAAAGAATTAAAGTGACCAGTTACAGATGCACAGCCAAGTGGTAAAAGGTCCGTTGGTGGAGCTGTGTACTGGTGTCTTTTGAGCGTAGGCCTGTGTCTGGGCATGCCTTTGTATGAATTTATTTGTCTGTATCTCTTGGTTAAGAGTGTTGTTTCATGAAGGGGAGAGAAGGTGGTCTTATCTGAGATATTTTACACTGGTCAGCAATAGCCTTTTCCTCTTCCTTTTTAGAACTGCTTTCCCTTCCCAGGCACAGTGAGGAGGTCTCTGCCCGGAGAATATGCTTGATTTTATCTCCAGTCCTAGTTTAGGAAACAACAGCTCTCCAGTCATCCCAGCATTCTGGGAATTACTTCCTCTTTTCTTCCCTGCTTGCCAGCTTTATTGAATTCTCCTTAGCAACATCCAAAGAAGAATGGCTTTAGCAACAGCCTATGAACCAATCAAATGTGAGCATGGCCTGAGTTTCTGGACCAATGGGATCCCTGCATGACCGGCAAGATGGCTGAGGAGAGACAATAATAACCTGGAGTTTGCAAAGCAGCCTCCAGGTGGCAGCAGACCAGCTATATTGGGCACAACCCTCAGCTCTCAGTATCTACTTTGTTTTTTGTTTTCTTTGACCTCTTCTTGGATATGAAACATATACCGACTAGGAGAGTTTTAGTATTACAAGCTTCGTGGGTGTGAGTTGTCTGCATGACATGGTAGACATGGTCCGAAGGGTGGCATCTGAGGCCCCCCTCTGTCTGTACTGACCCCACCACAGCTCCTGCCATCTTTGTTGGTTTTGTCAGTCATTGCTACCCCAGTAGGTGGGAGCTGGGAGGCCTGTGGTGACTGCCTGCTCAGCAGTCAGACAGAGGCTGGAGGAATCACATTCTCCTTTGTTCAACCACCACTGCTGCTGGCCTGCGTGACAAATGAGGTGGGGCTGCTTTTTAGCCACCAATTAATGTGAGAGAAGGAGTGTGTCACCGACAAATTAGTGCCTGCAGCCAGTCTCATTTCAGTGGCATAGACTGGGACCATTGCCTGCCTGCAGGTTCTGCTGAGCACGTCTGAACAAGAATGTCTGACCACAAGTGGTTTGAGGATAATTCTACTGTCTGTCGGGTGGTTTGGCCCTCTTGGTCTTGAAGCTAGGGGCAGATGTGGACAGGAGCTGAATAAGGCCATACTGAATAATAGCAAATCCATGTTCCCGATGGTTTAGCTATCCTTCTTTTGCCTTTTGAAACACTACCCAGTGAGATTTTGGTCCTTCCGATATCCATATTTCTCTCACATGTCTGTATTTCTGTCTGGCTTACTCTTCCCATCCTTTAGGAGTTAGTTAAGGCATCCTATCTTCAGAAAGCCTCATTTGATTCTCACCCTCCTTCTCCCCTCCGGCTCCTGGTGTTCCTGTTGCTGCACCTCCGTGTTGCTTTCTATGTCTCTATTTGGGAGCTTCCTCAGAGGGTCGCGGAGCTTCTTGAGGACAGAGTCTGCCTTTATAGCTCTTTACTGTAGTGTCGAAATATAAGGGGTTTTGAGTAACCATTTTTAAAAGAAAGGAAGCACATAAGAAAGAGTCTCTTGCTCTTTAAGAAACAATCTGAGGGACTCTGAGGTAGCCGGGCCTGGGCTGGAGCAGTGCTAGCAAGTCCGGGGCTGGCTCTTGGGGATGGCTTCTAGCTGTTTCAGGAACCTTCAACAACCATGAGCTGCAACTCCAGACCAAGACCTGAGTCTGGAAAGTAACTGTCACAACCATTGGCTTATGCCATGACAGGCTCTTCTCCGTGACGTGGTTTCCTTCATGATTTTGTGTTTTAGGAAGAACTCAGGAGCAAATCCAAGATCTGTGCCAATGTGTTTTGTGGAGCCGGCCGGGAATGTGCAGTCACAGAAAAGGGAGAGCCCACCTGCCTCTGCATTGAGGTAAGTCCTGAGGTCAGGAGCCAGAGGACAATAGCCAAGGCCAAATGGCTACCTTGCTGGAGCTGCTAGTCAGCAGGGCAGGGCCAACAATTTCATCACCTTTATAAAAGCATACCGTGTCTATCTGAAGGACAAGGGATTTTCATTCCAGAAGTTAAAAACCAAATGTGAATGCAGGGATATTCTTTTTTAAAAAGATGTTTAGTTTTATAAGATTTTTAAGTCAAAATTTTAATAATGTTTTATGTAAGCCAAATAATACAGACATTTGTATAAACATAAAATTAATAATCTTCCCCATAACCCTCAAATCCGATTAGTCTGAAATGACCAGTGTTAACAGTTCAATATATATTATTCCACTTGTTTTTCTATGCTCCTATAAACATATAGGGCCCCCCCTATTTTATACAAAAAGGAGATCATAATAAATATTTTGTAATAGCATCATGTTTATGTGGTCATTTTCCCATAGGTGGACATTTAATTTGTTTCCTGAGTTGTTCGTCACTACAAACAATAACATCCTTGTGCAAATATCCTTACATGCTGCAGCCTTTATTTCTATAGGATTGCTTCCCACTAGGGCTTGCCAAGTCAAAGGATATGCACGTTTTTAGAAAACTACTAGATGAAATGAAGTTTTTTTAGGGGTTTTCGTTTGTTTGTTTTTAATGAGGTTTAAAAAGCAATGGGAACTTTTGAGAAATACTTCTTTTGTAAGCAGGATTCTGACAAGTTCTCACTCTTCAGACAAACATAAATACCTTCCTTCCCCTTTCTGTCAAACCAACAGAAGCCTAGAAATATATTTGCCTTTATGCAAATAAATACACCTAATTTAGTCCCCAGATGAAGGATCTGATCCATTGTCTCAGAAAGGAAGTCCCCCAACTTAGAAACATGAAAACCAGATCCATTGGGAACCCTAGGAGGCCCTCCCCAGAGGTGTAGCTGGCCACTGTGTGATGACATGAGCCTGTACTTAGAGTCAGGAAACCTGCTGTCTAGTCTCACCTTGACCACATATATTTGTGTGATTTCGAGCAAATTAGTTTCCACTGGATGCTGCAAAGACAAGACACCATGTCTGCCCAGCATGTAGAACATTTAGTAAGAATTCAATAATAAATATTGGTTAAATGAAGTTTGTCTTCCTAGACGTTGGTATTTTCATCTAAAATCGGAGAGGCAGGGCTGCCTTCCAGCTCCAGTGTTCTGTGTTTCTTCTTACCGCCTCTGGTCTTTCTGCCTTTGGTGCCTTCATTAGGGCTGAGCTGAACTTGCTTCCCCCTTACCGCCTCTCAAAAACCGCAGAAGTCTAAAGAAACCAAGCTTGCCTGTGACCGTGGCCCTTTAAATAGCCAGCGTAGAACCGAGTTGCCAAGTGAACTTTAGTCCATTTCCCTGTCCATAACGATTCTCTGCAATACTTCACAAAGACCAACATCCCCAGCCCTGCCTCACAACAGCCCTTGCGAGATCAGGAGGAAAACAAAATGGCCCCCAAATACTACACAAAGTGAGAGAGCAAACATCTTTCTAGTTAAACCCCAGAAGAACTGAAGCACGGGGGTGTGTGTGTGTGAGTGTGTGTGCGTGTGCGCGCGTGCGTGCACGCCTGCCTGTCAGTCTCCACATCCCCCGCTCTCAGCTCTGGCTCTTGTGTCTTAGAATGTTGGTGTTTTAAGGGATCTGAGATCATCCAAAGAAATCGCATGACTTTCTCCAAAGTGACAGAGCATCCAGATTCCTGACTTCTAATAAAATGCCCTTCCTACTGATTCGATAGGGTCAGGGTGGTCTGTTCCTTCACTGAATGAAAGAGATGGCCCTGAACCGGGATCAGCACAGGGGGCCATGCAGGGCTGCAAAATGATGGGGTGCCTCCAAGGCTGCACGGGGTAGAGTCACTGATGCCAGAGCTGAGGCTCCCTCCCAGGATGTAGCCACAAGGTGCACGTGTGTGTGTGTGTGCGTGCACGCGTGCGTGGGCTGGCACCCTGACCACAGAGACCTCCTCCTCGGGTCTGTTTCAGCAATGCAAACCTCACAAGAGGCCCGTGTGCGGCAGCAACGGCAAGACCTACCTCAACCACTGTGAGCTGCATCGAGACGCCTGCCTCACTGGATCCAAAATCCAGGTCGATTATGATGGACACTGCAAAGGTAAGGAGTGCTGTTACCACCATCTCCCAGCTCCAGCCAGAGGAGCCATCGGATGCAGCAGTGTGGCCTGGCTTCCCACACTCCTTTCCACTGGGCCACAGCACCCAAAGCCACGGAGACCACCCAGCTACTTGGAGATGCATGCTCTTGTGCTCATGAGCCTACTGGCTTTGCCCTGGATCCTGGCTTTGCCCAGACCTGTGCCCAGGGTTTCCTGCATCAAACTCCCAGGGGAGCTTCCAGTACTGTCTGCAGTGCATAGGGAACCACATCAATAATCAACAATAATAAGGAAGTGTTTAAATGAACTCTATGCCTTTTTAAAAAGCAGGTGAATTTCACTTTTTATTTATTTTTTAAAGGTTTTATTTATTTATTTTAGAGAGAGAGTATGGTAGGGTGGGGGCAAAGGGAGAGGGAGAGAGAGAATCTCAAGCAGACCTCACGCTGAGCACAGAGCCCGACACGGGGCTCGATCTCATGACCGAGATCACAGCCTGAGCCAAACCAGGAGTCGGATCCTTAACCGACTAAGCCACCCAGGCACCCCGAATTTCACTTTTTAAATTTGGGCTCCTCTCAGCCCTGGTCTATATATTTACTCTATTTTGCACTCAAACCATTGCCAGTAGGGTAAGAGGGAGGGGGTCCTAAGCTCGTTGCTAATTAGACACGAGCTCCCTGCCAAGCCGCAGTCCCACTCAGCAGCTCCCATCCTGAACTGCCCTGGTGAAACTAGAAACTGTCTCCACATGTGGGTCTCCACTCCATTTTCCTCTCTATAATGATTCCATGTGAATTCTCAAAGTCCCAGCCACCCATCCCCACCCCTCAACCTAACAGGAGGAGGTATGAGACCAGGAAGGCTGACTCAGTGGCCCAAAAATGTCAGATAGAGCTGGGAAGAAAAGATCCTCCCTACTTAGGCCCTGGAAGAAGGAAAGGTGACAGGGACCCAGGACAAAATGATGAAAAGATTGTAAGTGGCCCCCTTAAGGTGGGATGATTTTAATCCAAGCAATACACAGAAATGTTCTTTTGTATTCACTTGGTCTTACGCATTTTCTCCTTTTGTCTTGCAGAGAAGAAATCCGTAAGTCCATCTGCCAGCCCAGGTGAGAGCCTGTTTTTTCCTCCAGGGTGCCTTTTAGGGAAGAAATTCTTTTTGTGAGGGAATTTTGTGTTTCACATTCCTTGCTGAAGCTCACAAGATCTGTGTGTCAGAACTTGTGACCCAGAACTGGTCACTCCTCAACATAGCTCAGAAAAGCGGCAAAACTGCATTTTTTTTTTTTTTTTTTGTGCTTGACATTTGAAGTGGCTGGTTGAGTCAGAATGTTGGCTGTGTTTTCCATTTTTGCTGAGTAGTGATTGCATTAAAAGGACAGGAAAGCCACTGAATCTTTCCTTCAGTGCTCTATAAGATAGGCTGATGTCACAAGACTAGCAGAATCAGAAGGCAAAACTTTTTTTGAAAGGAGATAATTGGAAATGCCAGTGGGACTTTTTCCGTGGTTTTCTATGAATCAAAATTACAGTTTCATCATTATAGTTACAGAACCTCTAGCATATGTTTTTCCTTAGATCTTTACAATAATCTTGTGAGGTAGACCTTATTGTAATGACCTCATAGATGAGGAAATCGAGGCTCAGAGAGGTTAAGGTGAATTTCTCAGCATTAAACAGCTTGGAAGTGGCAGCCCAGATTTCCATACCCCTGGCTCAGGGCCCTTAGCACATCCCAGTGTGTGTTGTCTTCCAGGAATTTCCTCTTGCCAAAGCTCTCCCTTGCCCATCCCCCATCTACCCAACTCTCAGTCCCACCTGTTATTGCCAAGTGTCTTGCAACAGCTGTCCAGAGCAGGGTTTCAGCATGGCCCTTTCTTGACCTTGTTTTCTGTGGTTTAGAACAAAGGATAATGCAGACAGTGTAAAATTTTAAGTGGGAGAGTTTTGATAGACCCAGTTGGTAAGAGGAAAAAGCTATAGAGAGAGAATGTAAAATCTGGTGGCATGAAGGATTATAATGTGCTCCTTCATGCACTTATTATTTCAGCGCATCTGTGAGCCAAGAGAGCTGTTTATTGATTGATAGATTTTTTCCCCCTTAGCTTCCTGAAGTTAATGAAAATGTCCTTTATTTTTCTGCCGATGTTTTTCTCACCTAAGCAACATAGTCTCTCTTTTCAATATTCTCAATTCTTATAAGTTTTTTAGAAACATAAGCTTGCATCCTGCTTTAGTCACTTTCCAGTTGTGTATCCTGGGTTGACTCCTATAAAATGTGTGTGATAATTTTGTGTCCCTGGAGTGCTGTGAAAATTCAATGAGATGTCGCATGCAGAGCCCCAGGCACTGAACCTCCCATGTAGTGGATGCGGGGTGACCTTGGGGTCCTCACCACTCAGCTGACCTCCCTCCCCTTTCCTGCAGTTGTTTGCTATCAGTCCAACCGCGATGAGCTCCGGCGTCGCATTATCCAGTGGCTGGAAGCAGAGATTGTTCCAGATGGCTGGTTCTCTAAAGGCAGCAACTATAGTGAAATCCTAGACAAGTACTTTAAGGTAATCCAGAATTGGGGTCAAAGACTCTTCAGCCACAGACAGAGAGACTTCCTCTCCCATTGCCTGATCGCATCTTCCAATCATTCCATGAAGCTATGACATTTGCTTTCTGACCAGCTTGACCAGTAGGATTTCAGCAGTAGAGCCTTTGGGATCTACTGCACATGTATATGGCCAGGCTGTATCCCCCTACCCCATATGTATTTCCCTACCCTCTACCTCATAGAGCTGGCTGTTGATACAGTATACCTTCTGATCTCACCCAGACCCAGGCATTTCCCACCCAGCTTGACATTTCTCTGAGTCATTAACTTGATCGTCTCTGGCCTGTAGCGTTCCTCATCATCTGAGAAGAGTCCACGGACTGGCATTCCATGGGTCCAGGATTCTTCATGAACCCAGATATTGCTTGTTGCATCACTTAGTTTAAGAGACAGGTGGTTCCAATTAGGGACAGGAGAGATGCTGCTTTGATAAAAGTCGGAAATAGTAGTTAGCAATGAGTAGGGCTTGCATGGCATGGAGATTTTTCAGATAGCCTGAGACATTGTTAGAAGAAGCAGTTAAGGACACTCTTCCAGCTGACTGACAAGACACAGACTCACACATATGTACATCACACCCCAAGATAAAAATACCATAAGCAGAAGCATGCACACCACACACACATCCCACATACAGAGATGCACACCCCACACAGGGACACAGCCTCCTCACCGACACACATTCAGATACCCACATTGCCACATAAGGAAAAAGCCCCCTTCACTTACAGACACACATCTCTAGGTAGATGCCCTCAGATGCTCACCCACAGACGGACATGTTCTCACGTGTCTCCAGGGCCTGCTGTCCCAGGCCGTAACCAGCCTGGACTCACAAGCAACCCCAGACACATGAGGGATTTCTCGGTGGCTCTGTGGCCATCACATGTGGTCAAAACCAGTCTGGTCTGCGGATTCCTCTTCCTAACTGACTTTATGGACCCCACAGATGGGGAAATACTGGATTGGGTATTTGGTCGTTTAAGACTTTGCTTGTGTTCCTGTCTTTAGCAAGTTGTTTCTTAATTGAGACCCCTTGAGAAAGTATGTCTCTCTGGGTTCCAAGAGTCGCTTAATTGAGACCCCTTGAGAAAGTATGTCTCTCTGGGTTCCAAGAGTCGCTTAATTGAGACCCCTTGAGAAAGTATGTCTCTCTGGGTTCCAAGTGTTTGAGATCACACCTGGCTGAGAAAGCACAGCCCTTCTCAGTCTATCCTCTGTCTCACTCCCCCAGCATTACAGAGCCCTTGGGGCAGAGGGTAGCTCCTCATCTCCAGAGAAACACATGATAGTGCAAAGACAGGAGAGTCACACAGGAACAGAAAGTAACTCGAAGAAAATGGTTTTTCAGAAGCTGAGTGAGCAGCACCTGCCAGGTTGTGTGCAGTGACTTGGCCATGGCTGCTAAGGCCCAAGAGACCCAGAACACTCTTTCCAAGGGGCCTCTTGGGACCTTATAATCATTCCTAGTGGCTGGTCCCTTGGAGGCACCCTGCCTCAGGCATCAATGGAACCTGCTACTAATTTGATTCCCAAGTACCTGGGCCTCACACCCCTCTCCACACCTCTCCACCTGCTCCAGCAGTAACTTCTCCAATTGAGACCCCTTGAGAAAGTAGTTTCCTCTAGGGCATTCTCACTCCTAACCACAGAAGCTTGATCATGACTGACTCACACAACGCTTGCTTTTCCCAGACATTCTGGCAGTGTCCTCTGAGAAAATAGGGGTTTCACTATCTACTTTTTGGTGATTATTGGAGTCCTGTGTGGTGCAGTCTTCAAAGGGAGGTTCCTTCCCACTAGGCAGATAACTGCCTGTTGGTGAGAGATCTGGTATCTCACAAAAACTGTTTCTGAACCAGGGACTGCCCTCCAGCCCAGCTGGTATTCCTTACATCAAAATTAGTTGAAAAGAAAATCTAATCAGAATTGGGGTAAGACCAAAACCAGACTCTCACTTCACCTGGTGATTCATTCATGATTTCTCCAGTGAAAGTGTAACAGACCCAGGTAGAGAGAGCCTGTCATGGTCACGTCATAGACACACGCTGGACTCCTGGTGGCAGACCCCCCTGGTGGCCAGGGCCACAATCGGAGCCAGACTTCTTACCTCCCTTACTCTGGGATCATGTCCCCCATCAGCACAGCTGCTGTGTGTGAGCGAGTGCAGGCCCCCGGGCAGTCCAGGATATTTCTGGGGCAGGTACCAGACCTCTGTTTTCCTGTGGATTCCACATACAGAGCTGGCCTGGGGAGGCCTGCTTGGTCCCTCCTGACATGAGCGTGCAGACTGGCTCTCCCCTCAGCTCCAGGCCTGGATTCTGGCCCCACTGAATGTGCAGTGTGGGCACTTAGCACTGCCTTTTGGGAGCTGCCTGGGCCATAGTCGCAGGTTCCTGGTGGCCCCAGGGGCCGTGTGGCCCCGGGTCTGCAGCCATGGCTGCGCGACTCCTCTTCAGGCTCACTCCCTCATCGGGCTGTGATGCTGTTGGGGTCTGTGAGGGTTGCTTCTGTCTGTCCAGCACTTGGAACATTTGGATTCAAGAAAGTCCTGCACTGCTAAGAATGACCCCTGGCCAACCTTACTTCATTTCTCTCCATTAGTTAATCAAGCCTTCACAAGGTGAAGGGCGGTTTCCTCAGGGTGGATGTATAGGGACTAGAGAACATCTGAGACCTGTTGCTAGGAATTGGGACAAGAATGATGCAAGGGCTAGCATGGTTTTATACATACCCAGCATTATACATACCATGGAAAGATTTACAACCTTAGAGTAGAACACATGTGACACAGGACAGTCATGGAAGGAGAGTCCCTTCTACCTGGAAACCTAGACAGACTTTTCTTCCCGAAGCCCTTACACCATCTGGGGAGCCACCTTGAAAGTAACATGGGAATGCTGATTATTTCCCAAGGCAGCAAGACGAGGCAGCCTAGGGAAAAGAATTTTCAAAAACATTTTTCTCCCATTGTAACTATTTAGGAGAGCAGCAGGATCAACTTAGAATTTGATAAGATCTTGACCTCAACACCCTCCTCCTGCAGTGGCGGCCTGGGCCTATTGAATGGTCCCAAATGGCTATGGTCTCGGTTTAGCATCTTGCCAAAGAGGGGATAATGCCTGCGCTCACTGTACCCTCACCTTGTGCTCATGGGATGTCAGCTGGGTCATGAGGACAGCCTGTGTTCCGTAAGCCAAGGACCTTGCACACATCTGCAGTGGGGCCCCCAGCCCAGAGCAGAGGGGTTGGGAGGGGGGCTTTGCACCATCTCTGCCTGCAGGTTATCAATTGGGGTGCCTATGTTTGTGACTTCTCACTGATGTGCTTGGTTAGGGGTGCCAGTGTGAATGTTAAGCATGAGAGCATGCCAGGGAAATCAAGCAGCAAGAAGTGGTCTTGTGACTCCCAGAGTGAGCTCTGAGGGTTACCTGCATTGTTGTTCCGAAGCAGCTTGTTAGAAATACACACTTCCTGGGCTCTGCCACAGATTCTGATTTAGAATGTTGTTACATGTCCAGTGAGGTTTGAGAACAGGGTCTGGTGGCTGGCCTGCACCCAGAGGTTATGTGGAGAATGTCTGTAGGACAATGTCAGGGATGAGGCTGCAGAGCGCCCATCGGGACCCCAGCTGCTTGCGTAAACACAGGCCTGTATCCCAGCTGCCCTTCTGAGCAAGGTCTGGGTTTGAAAGGCCCTCGGTGGCCTCTGCCCACATACTTTCCCTCTCTCATCTTGGGGTGCAGGTGGCTTCTCACATCTTCAAGCCTGTGTTGCTGTAGCTCTGAGGCCGGGGCAGGGTTGGAATGAGCAAGATGAACCAAAGATGGGTCAAGCTGAGTGGGAGACAGTTCTACAAAATGTTCCTGAAAGAGCTCTTCATCCCCTTTCTAGAATGTTGATAATGGTGACTCTCGCTTGGACTCCAGTGAATTACTGAAATTTGTGGAGCAGAATGAAACTGCCATCAACATCACTACCTATGCAGACCAGGAGAACAACAAACTGCTTAGGTGAGTGGAGTCGAGGGGTCTGGGAGTGGTCCATGAGGCGAAGGCTGGTTAGGAAAGGGGATCTGAACCCCTTCCTCCCTACAGGGAGCAGCCAGTGCAAGTGAAAAGTAAAAAGCAAAATAGGAATTCTGTCCTGGTCTATTTTGTGAACATTATGAACTAATATATTGAGCACCCCTGGTATCTGATCAAGTAGTTATTGTTTTTGGCCAGAACTTGCAAGCAATGGAATGTAATCTTAAAATAAATTATCAAGGTCACATCAGAGCAAAAGTGTTTCTGAGTATCATGGGTAATGTTTTAATGGTTAATTTTCTGAAGGAATTACATTACTGTATTCTTTAACTGCAAGTCTAAAATAGCTTTAGTTCTGATTTTTAAGATAATTGGTGCTATTTCACATAGAGAACCCTAATTGTCACAAATGAGAGCCTGTCCCTGTCCTTTTCTGATATTATTCCAGAGTAAATATTAATAAAAATTAACCCCTAAGAAACTTCTGGTGTGGTTCCAGTACATCAGCAAGAATTAAAAATAGGAACAGCACCTCTTTTGTTCAGAAGAAATAGAAAGCATGAAGCCCAGATTCTAGAATGATTCTTTCTTTGTAGTCCAAGACCTTACAGTATAATATTTGAAAATCCTTCATATTTTGATAACTTGAAATTAGATAATATTTTACAAGTTCAGTGTTTGATCTTCCTAATATCCCAGTGAAGGAGGCCTCCCTGTCCTCATTTTACAGATGAGAAAACAGGCTCAGAATAGTTGAAGAGCTAGCTCAAGGCCGTTTGGGTAGGAAGTGATTGAACTAAGGCTCAAATCCAGGCCAAGAGGAGCATGAGGGAACTGGGGTTCCATAAAACTTTTCTGAACATACGTTTATCTTTCTAGAATAGTGATAATGACGATGCCTGCTTGAACTCCATCACACATTCCATTCCTATCATCTATTCATCTCCCTTCTGTTTTGATTTCCCTAGTTTGGTTGACTTAACCAGTACCATGGGGAAAAGCAATTGCTCATGGAAGGTGCATAGGCAGTGAGAACATTTGTCAATCAAAGTGGACAAAACCATTCAAGAAACTTTAGTCTTCTTGGGCGCATTTGAACAGTGTGAATAATCTGACATCAAGTAACAAAGTAAAGGTTGGATGCTTACAGGAGTCAGGATGGATGATGCTTGTGGGAAGGCAGTGCAGAAAGTTCTTCAATTAACAGTCGCCCCCTTGGCCTCCTGGAGGTCCCAGATGTATGTGATCCCAATGTTTAGTTCCTTTCTGTGGGAGTGAAGCTGAGGTCTTGCTGACATATTTCTCCTGTATTTTGTTCCAGAGGGCTCTGTGTTGATGCTCTCATTGAACTGTCTGACGAAAATGCTGACTGGAAACTCAGCTTCCAAGAGTTCCTCAAATGCCTCAACCCGACCTTCAGTCCTCCAGAGAAGAGTATGCTTAACCTGAGAAATATGAAGCTGTAGGGAATGGGGGCTTTTGGGGAGGGCCAAGATAAAGATACTTGATGGAATTTTCCAGAGCTTGCTAAGAAAATTTCCTTCCACAATTCTAGACTGGGCCCTAGCCTATCATCTACATGCTGAGGTTAGCGTCCAGAAATCTTTGGATCGATGGCATCATTTACCCAGATATGTTGCCTCTGAAGGATAAGCCGAAGCAGGTCTTGTCTGAGAAAGGGGTAAAGTGCACAGACGGTAGCCAGCAGGTCCTGTTCCACCCTCACCCTAAACCGATGCCCCTTATTTCTGGTCCCACCAGAGTGTGCCCTGGAGGATGAGACGTACGCAGATGGAGCAGAGACCGAGGTGGACTGTAACCGCTGCGTCTGTGCCTGTGGAAACTGGGTCTGCACAGCCATGACCTGTGACGGTGCGCTGTCCCTCAGGCAGGAGGAAGGAACGGCGGGGAGAGAGCGACCTTTGTGAACCCAACATAGGAGAAGTCAGGGTGGGGATGATGGAGAAGAGTGCAGTGGCCAGGAGCAAGGAAACCGGGGAGCAAGTCACAGACTCCAGTTTGTAGTGTAAGAGTGCCCAGTGGGCCGCATCGAGGGCAAAGCACTTCTGCCAGATGCGTTAAGGTCAATACTCATTCCAGAGGCTTGGCAGAAGAGAGGTTTAAGATGCAGGGCAAGGTCAGATGTTGATATGAGATTGGAATAATAAGAAGAGTAACAATAATGATAATGAAAGCAAATACTTAGAGCTGCATGCCAGGCACTCTCCTATGCACTTTACCCACTTAATCCTTAGAACAGCTTAGGAAATCCTCTATGTGAAAACTCAGGTGGTTGGAAGACAAAATGACTCCTCCTTGCCATCCATACCCAGCAGAAAAAAGAGATATGTTCATAGGCCCTCTTTGAATTAACAGACTCGGGTAATCCCTAAGGAAAAAAAGGTTGAGACATGGTCAGTGTGGGTTGAGGAGATAGAGATGTCAGAGAAAATTGGGGGGACAAGTGCAGAAACCACATGGCATGTTGGAATGATGCCAAAGATCAAAAGAAACTCTTGAATCAGAGCCAGGTCATAGGAAAAAAACAGGCACCATTCAGATTAGAGGAAAGACAGTGGGGGTGAAGCCAGGTCTAGAATGGAGAGTCACATTGGGTTTGAGAAGAAAGGTCAGTTGGCAAGAACCAAACCCAAAATTTACACCAGATGGGGTGAATTTAAAATTAAATCTTAAAAAAACTGAGACAAAGCAGACTGGTCTTAGGATCATGTTCAGGGAGGTCAGATAAGATGGTAACTGGGAGACAGAGGTCAAAGATCCAGAAGAGGTGATTCTAGATAAGAAGCCTAGGCAGCAGCAACAGTACCAATGGAACTCAGTCCTACCAGGGGATCCCTAGTCTGTCACTGCCCGGGACCAAGTTTCTTCTCAGTGTGGAAAGGCAAGAAGCCAACACGATTCCAGAGACAAAGAGCAGGAAGAGGCTGTTCAGAAACTTAGAAATTGCTGGAAGTCAAAACTGTAAGTCAGGGTAGCCAGGCTAAGCACACAGTACCTACTGAAGCCAAGAGAGAACATCTCAAAATACGACCCAACGTGCCCCAATCAGGAAGCATCCTGTATTTATCTTCCCAAAACCCCCTGTGGTAGCTCTCCACACCTAACTGTGCCTGGTCTGGCTTTGTAAGGGTAGCCATCCATTTCTAAGACACAGGCAATTGTTAAATCGCTGGTTTACAGAATAAGCATGCCCATCTGGATAATAAGCCCCATCACATGCATCAGACAAACCCAAATGATCGCCTCCATGAGACAGTGCCCATTTCCACAGCCACACTGGACAGCTCGTCCTCCCTCTCCGGGTGGCCCAGGTTCAGGGCCCTCTGTGGTATAGTATAAAGAGCACTGGAGATGGCAGTGCCCCAAGGTGAGCCTGCCTTGGTGTGGGGGCCATGGATCTGAGAGGACATTGTAGAGGCCGCATTCCAAAGTCAGTACCTGAAAGGCAGTCTGGTCTTAGATCACAAATCCCAACGGGGCAAAGAAAAAGGGGCGTCAAGACGTGAAACCAGGTGGAGCCAGAGCTGAGGGAAACTGCCGTGAGGGGCAGATTAATGCCAAACTCGAGAAGGCATGGTGGAGCGGTGTTTCCTCACAGCAAACACTGTTCTCGGTAAACGTAGATTCCCTCCCAAACCTACTGAATCAGAATCTGCAAAAGGGCAGCTCGGGAACCTATATTTTTAGGATGTATTCTATGATTTTTTCTAGCCACCCTGTAAATTTGGGAAACATTGCTAGATGCAGTGGTTATCAACCCTGGCTGCACATTAGAATCACCTAGAGCCTTTATAAAACCCTGGCGCCCAACAACAATTAAATCAGAATCTAAAAGTAGAATTTAAACAATTGTATCTCAAAAATTTCTGTAGGACATTTTGCGGGTGTGGAAATGGTTGAGAATCACTGGCCTAGGATCTTCCTGAGTCAAGACCCAGATACTCCCCATAGCTTTCCCTGCAGGCCCTGCCCCTGGCATGGCTGCGCTGGAGGGGGGAAGGCTCCCCTGAGGCCAGAGGAAAGTGAAGGAGATTGCTTTGTTCACAGTGTTACTCTGAAGGTGTCCTTTGCACTGGGACACTTCATATTCACAGAAATGCAGGCAGTTCACCCTTCCTTCCATAGGTTAAATGAGAGAGGAAATTGAGAGCCTACAAGGTAGCTTTTGGTGGGAGCTAAACTGACTTCCCTCAGTGACCACTGCTCTGAGCTTTGGTTCTTCTTGCAGGAAAGAATCAGAAGGGGGCCCAGACCCAAACAGAGGAGGAGATGACCAGATATGTCCAGGAGCTCCAAAAGCACCAGGTGAGTTGCCACCTCCATGCTGGCTCAGGATCTGCTGACCACTAGGCCCTTCCACCATTCAGATATTGCCTAATGCTGCATGAGAGCAAGGGGCCACTCTGGTCCATACAGTAAGTCCTGAATGGTAAACCCACAGTATCAAACCATGATATAGACAGTTCCCTGATGGAGTCCTTCCAGGGTCCAGCAGGTCCCAGCAGATGAAGGCTACAGCTTGGTAAATTGCTTTATAGGTAAGAATTAGGCAGGTGGTGATCTGCAGATAGGTTGGCAGTGGTTTGCAAATGAGCAGGGTCTAAAGCGGTGTTACTGTTTCCTGTCACGAGCAGTGCCCAGAGCCGAACACTAGGAGCTCCTTGGGGGCAATGAGCAGGAAATTACATTCAGTAATGTGGACCACAGCAGAAAGGATCTCAGTTAAATGCCAAGCTGGTTAGAAAACAGCCTGGGATTGACAAACCCAGAGAACTTAGAGGTTCTGCTTCCTGGAGACTTGAGAAGATAATAAGAATTCTGTTCAGGCTCTGTGTCATTAAGTTGAAGGCCTTCTTGGGAAAAAGGCTCTTGGCAGAATAACGATTCACTGACATACTTTTGGTAAGGGCTGGAGAGAAAACCCGGATATGCGGGCTATAAGGGCCTGTCTTCCCGCTGCCTTACCGTGTAGTTAACAAAGGATATTGGGCCTCATGTCACCTGTCTGCAGACTGGGTCTGGTATACAAGCCTTCTCTCTGACTTAAGTTCTGAGGGAATTTAACAGTCACAGAGCTACTCAACTATTGAGATGAAGTATTTGACTCGAAAATAATTAAGTGCTCAAAAATAATAATTGCTCATATTTATTGACGGTTTTTAATATGCATTTTGTCACTGTTGTCACTGATAACGTAGAAACCTCCTGTCAGTTTTTTAAGCCAAAGCAGAAGCTCCTAGCCTTCTGTTTTTTTTCATATTTCATCAGCCTTGAGTCTCCAGACGAGTCTGACCACATAAAAGAAAAAAAGAACTTAATAGGAATTCCTTTCCTCTGGGGTGGGGAAATGATCAGAGCAGACAGTGGGGAGTGAATTATAAGAGGTAACAGTTTTATGTGTTTTATGTGAGTTCCCTCAGAAAGCAGACGCTAAGGCAAGGACTCAAGTACAAATAGTTGATTTAGCAATCCTAGGAGACACCAGAAGGGAGTTGGGAAGCCAGCCCAGGAAGGGAAGGAAGCAATAAAGAGTGTATATCCAAGCATGTTACCGCTGTAGGCGTGTGGAGCTTGGTGCTGCTGTGGAGGGCTGGGACCAGAGTTCATGCCTGAGGGGGAAGGGAGCAGGGGTATTCCTCCACACACTCCCAGCCGCCATTGGCGAGGGCCGCCAGCAGCAGCGTGAGCTCCCGGGCATCTCTGGCCTGCCAGCATGTGTGGGCAGAGCCGGCTCCAGCAGCCAGAGGAAGTCTCAGGCAAAGAGGGGCAGGTGTTGGCAGGAAGAAGCCATGCCAGTGTACTGAAATGCTAAGGGGGCTATGGATGGGAAACCAGCAGTGTCTGCTAAATGCCAGGCACTGTTGGTGTTTGTTTCCTAATTAATTTTTTATTGAGATGTAATTTATATACCATAAAATTCACCCTTTTAAAGTATACAATCCAGTGGTTTTTAGTATATTCACTAAATTATCAACCATCACTACTGCCTAATTCCAGAACATTTTCATTATCCCAGAAAGAAACCCCAGGCCCATTAGAAGGGACTCCCCATTCTCTCTTCTCCCAGCCCCTGGCAACCACTCATCTACTTTCGAACTCTGCAGGTTTGCCTATTCTGGACATATACAAATGGAATCATACACTATATGGCATTTTCTATGTGACTTCCTTCACCCAGCATAATGTGTTCAGGGCTTATCCTTGTTACAGCATTAGTCAGGACTCCATTCCCTTTCATGGCTACATAACATTCCATTGTATGGATTTGCCACATTTTGTGTGTCTGTTCACCAGCTCATAGATATTTTGGTTGTTTCCCCTTTTTGGCTATGATGAATTATGCTGCTGTGAACATTCTTGTTCAAGTTTTTGTGTGGACATACGTTTTCAGGTCTCTTGGGTATATACCTAGGAGTGCAATTGCTGGATCATATGGCAACTCTGTGATTAATCTTTTGAGGAACTGCCAGACTGTTTTCCAAGTGGTTGTACCATTTTACATCCAAGCCAGCAGTGTTCCTATTTTTCCACAAACTCACTGCATTTGTTATTGTCCATTACGTTTTATTTTAGCCATCCTAGTGGGTGTGAAGTTGCATATCGTTGTAGTTTTGACTTGTATTTCCCTAATGACTAATGATGTTGAACATTTTCTCATGTGCTTACTGGCCATAAGGAAGAATGGCTTCTTTGGAGAAATGTGACATGTTGTAAGACATGGTGCTTTATTACCCTCATTTTGTAGATGAAGACATTGGGGCACAGTTTTCATAATTTGCCCGAAGTCCCCCAGAAAGTAGCACATCCATGATTGAAGTTCAGACAGTCTGCCTCCAAAGCCTGTTGCTCTTAACCCCTCTCGGGGCTGGGATTTTTGGAACATCTTGTAGTACTTGCATTTAGTATCCTTTTCTTCATCTTTAAAATGGGGATAATCATGGGGGCGCCTGGGTGGCTCAGTTGGTTGAGCGACTGCCTTCGGCTCAGGTCATGATCCTGGGGTCCTGGGATTGAGTCCCACGTTGGGCTCCCGGCTCAGCGGGAGGCCTGCTTCTCCCTCTCCCACTCCCCCTGCTTGTATTCCTGCTCTCGCTGTCTCTGTCTCTGTCAAATAAATAAAATCTTTAAAAAAAAAAAAAAATGGGGATAATCATGTCTGACCTGTGGTTTCATAGGTGTTCAAATGAGCTCAGCTCTTAATTCAGTGACAGCCCCTATGTGACCATGTCAAAAATAAGACGTGATCTTTGCCCTCAGGTTGTTCTCATCCACAGGAGAGACAGACAAGTAAACAGAACTAAAATTTAGCAGAAGCATGTCTCTGTCGATGCTATATAAAATCTTGAGTACTAGATAGATGCCAGTGATTTTTTTTTTTTTTTTATAATTCACAATGCTTATTTTCTCCTGCTTCTCAAAGGAAACAGCTGAAAAGACCAAGAAAACGAGCACCAAAGAGATCTAAAGAGGAGGCACTTGGGAAGGGTGTCCAGAGCCTGGCACCTTCTCTTCCACTTCAGCGCTGAGTCCAGTATATGCAAGTGTCTGCCGCAATCACCCAATCACCAGTATTTGCTTGTATAGCAATGAGTTTTTATTTTGTCTATTTGTTTTGCAATAAAGGAAATGGGGGTGGCTGGCTAGGAGGGGAAGGGCCATAGCCTTCATTTCTAGGAGTGCTTTGAGAGAAACTGTACATGGTGCTCAGGGGCTGGAGACAAGTAAGGAAACTGCATCAGGCTTGGGAGAGGAGCGGTCCCAGATCTGAACCCCAGTCTGCCACAGCTATAAACATGCTGCCGGGAGTGCAGGCAATGCCAGACAGAACTTTGCAGGCTGCCCCAGAGGAGGGGTTTGGGAAGCTCACTGGAGAGGAACACATTCTGCGTCCAGCCCTTCCTGTTGCCATCGGCGCAACAGACCTCCGGCGTCTGAGCCTCTCATGGCCCCAACCACTGCCTCTAGCTACACAGCCATCCTTGTTACCCGGTGTCCCCTAGACTTGGGAGTTTCTGGGAGGGTATACACAAATGATGCAGATACTTGTATACTTTGAGCCCCTTAGAGACCTAACCAAATTTTTAAACTTCTTACCAAAGGTGCTATTTTTCTGGAAAACTTTTTTTGGCAAGTTGACTTCATTCTTCAATTATTATCATTATATTATTGTTGTTTTTTAATATTTTATTTTCTTGACTAGAAATTAAGCTTTTGTAATTATTTTTCAGTAGTCCTACCATTTCAGGGGTGGGAGGGTTTGGGGTTCTTTCTGGTGCAGGGATCGCTATAACCCAGACTCCACCCACCCTGCCATATATTAGATGCAGCTCAGAGTTTTGTCCCCCTGGCTTCCAGTGGATCAGCAGTCTGCCAGCGGGTGCCTCAGGCAGAAGCCAGAGGAATATGAAGCGTCTCCCTACAAAGCTTTTAAGGTCCAAAAAGCTAATTTGTTTCCATTTATTCTGATAAGTTCATGCAAATCAGTATTCCAAAGGATGGAGACAAGTGTAGCCAAGCAGGGCTTAGCCTATCAATATGCTCTTTGATCCACCACTAACTAGGAGAATGACTTTGGCCCTGTCTCTTCCTATTTCTGGGCCTCAGTTTCCTCAGTGAGCAAGTAGGAATGCATTAACCTTTCAATTTGATAAATTATAAATTCTGAGGTTCTGATAATTGGTCCAGAAGGATACCGATTCCTATGATTTTCCTTCTCCTTAGGATAAATGAAACCTTACTGTTACAACAAAAGGGTCAGATGGCTACAAACAAGATGACCAAATCTGACCTCACTCCAGAGGGCTGCACGGGTTGTGCTGTGATGTAGAGCCCTCTTGGGTAAAGTCTATCCAGGAAGAGAATGGGAAAGAGAACCACTTCACTTTGCCTTCACTTTTGCGCTCCATTCTTAACCTTCTTGGAAACAGAAGTAGCATTCCCTCTCAAGATGAGGACAAAAGATGGTTTCACATTTTAAAGAGGTGGGTGGTGGGGGGCGGGGATGGAAATGGAGTCTTCAAACTGTGATTGGGAAGAAATTTATCATTCCTATCTTTTGGACTCTGTGATTATTAACCCCACTATTTATCATGTTTAAGATGCACTTGGAACAACAAAGATTAAACACTTGACATAAGATCTCATTTTCAGAAAGCAGATTACAGACCATGAGAGGGAAATTAGGTAGATTGCACTGCCCAGGTGACTCTGAGAAAGTTGTGCTTGAATGTGGAATTCCTTCTAAACAAGTTTCCTTGTTCTTCTTTGAAAGGAGAACATCCCATTTTGTTTAGAATTCTGAGCTTTTATATGCATCCCATCTCATTTAAAAGCTCTCTTCAAGCCCCACTTGTGCATGCTGAAATGCACCTTCCTGTCCAGTTGCCTTGGAGAACTCCGAACAGCACACCTTGATTGAGTTTTGCCAGCCCTTGGACACTGAGGGAGAGCACAGGAATACCAGTTTGTTTAAAGCTAGAAGCCAGAGTGTCTCCTCACCAGTTACATTCAGGACAGTGGTTGCCATCTAAGACTACCCAACCCTGCAACATGGAATTCCCAAGAGCAAATCTGCATTCCTCCTGTAAATAGGGCCGCTATTGTCTGCACCATAGAATCATACAATCTGATGACCATTCATGGAAAGCTGCTAAATAGCCTAGTTTGGGGAGTCTTGCATAGAGCTTTGCATGGAGCAAATAGGATTAAACCAGGTTCAGTTCCTCCAGCTCTCTACAAGCACAGGGCTTAGACTGCAAGCTTCCTTGGGCTTTCTCAGTGTGTATATGATTTTATTAACATATTACGGCATCTGCTAAGATTCAGTGTTCATGGAAACCTTCTCACATGCCATGACTCTGGACTCCATCACTGTTTTTGGAAAGCAGGGCTCCTCCACCTGCTAATAAGCCCATGTGGACAAATCTGAATGTCTTTCCTTTACACTTAAGTTTTTAAATAATCAAGTTTCAAGAAGCAAATTTGAACAGGTTTCTGTTGCCTATGTGTTTGTGAAATGTATTTGTATTAGTAGGCTTCCATATTGCATTTAACTTGTTTTTGTAACTCCTGATTTTTTTTCTTCCTTTATTTTTTTTTGGATACTATTGATAAATAAAGAAATTAAAACAGTCATTATATTGTTTTCCTCCCCCCACCCCCAATTAAGACCAAACAAAGTTGTGAGAACATTAACCATTTACCTCATAAAAGTGGATTTGGCCTTAAGGAGCCTTAAAAGAGGCCTGAAGAGTTTCTCCTAATCTGGGACTGCCACTGGGAGGGCAAGTTCACTCAGGGACAGATAGAACAAGTTTACTTAAAAGAATCCTGGATGGTGGGTCTGGAGTAGGAAGTGATGAGAAGTCAGGGAAGCATTCCTATACCGGGAAGAGGTTAAACTAAATGGCTCCTAAAGCCCCTGAAGGTCTTATGAGACTGGCTGTTTCTTATGAAACCAAGAAGCCAAGTAAACCTGGGAAAGTGACACAGGGAGCCAGGCTCTGGCCAGACGCCTTAATGGCTTCTACCCGATACATATCCCATAAGGATAAACAGTGCTGAGTGAACTGAATGTTGGCTAGTTAGAACCCTCTGTTCTGCTCCATCTTGGAGACGTATAACCAGTACTTGCTTTCCACCTCCCTGTCCAAGTCATACAGCTACTGTGCACTCCACAGCCCCAATAATTCTGTCTCCCAAAACAGCTCATTCCAGTTGATGAGGCTTCAGCTTTCTTAATTTTAGTCCTATATGGAGAAGACTTTCTGCTCTAAAATTACAGCCAGACCACCTTAATTGGATGTGGAGTATTACTCAAATGCTAATCAAATATTAAAAGGCAATCTCTGGTTATATTATTGCTATAGATTACTGGTCTCACTAATCAATTTGATTCTTCAAATTTTTATTCTCAGAAGGAAATTTTAAACGCAATTTGAAGAGTACCTTGTCCACAACCACTTTTAAATCCTGGCTGGCCTCTCCCAATCTTCTACCATGTTCTGGGAACACTGCTATTACAGTATGTATGTACTAGGAAGTGAAAATGAATTAAAAATAACCTGGGGTGCCTGGGTGGCTCAATAGGTTAAGCATCTGCCTTCAGCTCAGGTCATGATCCTGGGGCTCTGGGATCAAGCTCCGCATCGGGCTCCCTCCTCAGCAGGGAACCTGCTTCTCCCTGTCCCTCTGCCTGCTGCTCCCCCTGCTTGTGTTCTCTGTGTGTGTGTGTGTGTGTGTGTGTCAAATAAATAAAATCTTAAAAAAAAAATAAAAATAGCCCTTTTGAAAGAAGCTTAATTCAAATGGTAAGTTTCCTATAATCAAAATGTAATATTATGAATTGTGCAAATTAATACAAATTACTTTGATTAGCTTTAGTTTTAGAGGACTTGTATCAAGTCCCCATCAGTCCTCTCCAATTATCTCTGAAATATAAGGGGAAGGAGGGGGGAAAGCAGATGTCATCAGAGCCCTGGAGTAAATGCAGCATGGATGTGTGACATGATCATGTTGCATCATGAGAGGGTCTTCCTGTCAACAGAAGTTACTTTTTAAAATTATTTAACACATTTCTTATTGAAAAAGTAATATATGCACATGGTAAAAAAAATAAAATTGTGTCAAAGAAAATACAATTAAAAGATCCATCCTCTTAGAGGGTGTGTACATTTATAAATTTGCTTAGAATTACTGACTGTCCTTCAAAGAAGTTGCACCCATTTACATTCACACCAAAAATACAGACACTGATGTCTATTTGCCTACGTTTTTGCAAGCACTGTGTCTTTAAACTTTGGGCCTCTTATAGAGGAAGAATGGTAACTCGTTGCTTTATTTTAAATTTATTTTATTACTCCCTTTGTGAGATCAATTTCATCTTTCTGTGATTTATTGGTTCTTGCCCTTTTCTTTCATACCCTTTATTCCTTTTTCTATTGGCTTTTCATCTTTTTCTAATTGGTTTGTAGTAGTTCTTCATATATTGTTATTAGCCCTTTGTCTGTCACAAGGGTGGCAAGACCTCGCTGTAGTAGCTTGGATAGAAGGCTACTTCAGGAATGAGGTGAGAAATATGGTGATTTGAATTAAGATAATGGGAAGTGGGGATTAACAGAAGGTTCAGGAGTTAGTTGACTAGTTATGGGAGTTAAAGAAGAGGTAACAGTCAAGAATGACTCCAAGGTTCCAGCTTGGACAACTTGGTAGATAGTCATGCCGTTTCCAGAGATTGGTAAGAGACTAGGAGAAGGCGCTTAGCTGGGGAGGGAAGGAAGGAATGGAAAATGATGAATTAGATTTTGCATGGGTTGAATCTGAGTTGCCTTAAGACATCCAAATAGAGATACTTGTGAGCAAGGTGGACAGAGAGTTTCTGGAAGAGCTCTGGGCTGGAGGTACAGATCTGGGAATAGACAGTGTAGAGATAGTATTCCTTTGTTTAGACAAGATGGTCTATGGAAAATGTATCAAGTGAGGGAAAAAGGGAAAAATATATTGAGTTGGGAGGGTCCATCATAGAGAAAGAGAACTCTTTTGGAAAACTCTGGGTTTGTCTATTTCTTCTGCTTCCTCGTGGCATCATTAACAAAAAGTGTACACAGTTAGAAAAAAGGTATAATGGGCTGGACTTGTATATGAGATTCATATACACAGCGTGCAGACAATTCAGATGGGAAATGATACCGTGGATTCCATGGAGAAATCAAAACTGAGAAGGAACCACCATGCATATATGGAACGGAGTAGTACAACTTGCCGGGGAACAGGCTATATGAATGTAGGAGAATGGAACAGGAAATGCACCATGCTGGTTATCACTGGAATGTACAGGTCTTATCTGACCTGCTGTGGTCAGACATGAACACCCAGAAACTGGACAATAATTAGGGCCTGTAAAAATAATGTACTGTCAGGAAAATAAGAGACAAGATTGTTAATGAATAAAAATATAATATTTAACCAGGAAAATTGGATAAAATTGTCAAAAGGATGAAACATGTTTGAAAGGAAATTTTTGCCTTCAAGAGAAAAGGGAATCTATCCTTCTAGTTTCTAGCTTAGTTTTAAATTATACAAGTTAGCAGAATTTGTCATTTTCCAAGGAGCAGAGACAACTCAAAACAAAATGTCTGCTCCAAAATTCGTCCGCCGGACTCCACAGTTAAAGCTGGTAGCCAGTAGTGTTTATATTCTCACATACTCTTTGTCTTTTATAAATGCCAGTCATCCTTAGTTTCATGTTTCAACTTCTTTCTAATCGACCTGTATCAAAACAATATTCTTGTGATTGATACCTTATTGTGAAACAATGTAATGTATGTTTAACAACCAGGCTTCCTGGGTTTAAATCCTGGCTCTGCCTGACCAGGCCTTTTATACTTCTGGAATTTATTTAACCTTTCTGTGTCTGGTTCCTCCTTAAAATGGCATAATAATAGTATTTAACTCATCCTTTTTTTTTTTTGAGGAGTCAATTCAATGAATATACAATTTTTTTGAATAGTCTCTGGCACAAAGAGAGTGCTACATAAGGGTCAAGTATCCTTTTTATTACCAATTATTTTCACCTATTAGATATTCTTATAATTCTCACAATGACCCTGTGAAAAAGCGATTTTACAGATAAGGAGCATACAGTTCAAAAAATTTCAGGAACTTGTCTAAGACCACACAACTAGCAAGGAACAGTCAGGATTCAAACCTGGGTCCTCTCATACTCATTCTATCTTGCTGCAATGTTTCCCTTTATTTTAAAAACCATCACATCAATGTGAATCATTAATTCCTAATTAGTGTTCTCTATTATGTAATTGCTGAGCACATATAAGTAATTCATAAGTTCATTTAGTTCTAATAACTGCACATCCTTTCAGTTTGTTGTTTGTTTGTTTAAGTAGACACATGAGTGCAGTTCAGGCCAGGCCTCTGAAGTTCCCATAAATGTGATCCCCAGTCCAACTTGGTCTCCCCAGAGATGATACATCCAATTGTGGGTCCCTCACAACCTCCAGCACACATCTCAAAATTTTGGCCTGGTGAAAACATACCTTCAGAATGCAAATGTCAATCTCCTTGGTGTGCCTGCTTCCTGTGACATTCTACACAGAGGTTTTAGAAGCAGATATACATCTTATCTCCACTGAAATTATTTTATCACCCGAATCTGCTGATTCAAGAAAATTGGGCTATGAGCCAATTAATATGTCTGGTTCTTAGTTTTCTGTGTTGGCTGTTCTCCTACGTGTTTTTTCCTCCTCTCTCCCATAACCTAATCTTGACTCCTACAAGGCCCAAGACAGATATCATCCTCCAACCCATACCACTTCCAAAAGAACAAAGGGGGAGAATCTGTGCAAAGAGCATAGAGAGAGGAGAGATTTGAAGGTAAGGTTCAGGAATAATAAAGACTGAAATCAACTCAGCAAGTTAGAGAAGTTCAAGAGCTAGTCTCACTTTCTTTGACTTTCCAAGATTTCCATAGCCTTTGCCCAGTAATGCCCAGAGAAGGCTTTTACAAATATAATGATCCTACCCATAACCAGTTTTAGGAAGATGTCCCTTACTCAGGTCCTGCTTTGTTATCAGCGAAGTACCCGTGTAATATCATTACCAAATAGGAAAAAGTGGCTTAGAGGAAACCTGCTCTGCCTGAACTCTCCAACAGATCATCACTGAAGTACCACATCAATGAAACATATACAATATAGACAGCTCATCAGGCTTTTCATCGTCTTTTTTTTTTTTTTTTTGCAGTTAAGATTTTTAAATTCTACTCAGTGCATTTAACATGTGAGAGGCATAAGGTCAAATGAAAGTAAATCTTATAGGGGCACCTAGGTGGCTCAGATGGTTGAGTGTCTGCCTTCAGCTCAGGTCATGATCTCCAGGACCTGGGATCACTGGTGCTGGGCTCCCTGCTCAGCGGGGAGTCTGCTTTTCCCTCTCCCTCTGCCTCTCCCCCTGACCCTGACCCTGCTCATGCTCTCTCTCTCTCTCTCTCTCAAATAATTGAGTAAAATCTTAAAAAAGAAAGAAAATATTATAAATAAAACAGAATTAGAGATAAAGAAACAAGACTTTGACATTTAGGCCTAAGAGAGACAAAATAGGGGAGCTCTATAGTTTCAGTC